GGTAGAAGACTCGAAGTGCAATCATTCATTAGCTAATCTACATGAAAGGGATTGAACCCTGCCCTCACCCTTTTACTGAGATCCATGAAATCTGGTCCTAATGTGGGCCTTGATCCACTACCCTACCATTAGCCATGCCTTTTGAAAATCAATATTGGGCTTCTCCTGACTTACAGGGGTAGATGAAACATTGGCGATATCAAGACAAGACAGCTCTTTTGACTTTTACTCCATGGAGGAGCAGAACATCGAAATGGTCGTTTAAGTAGTGGGTTATTAGGGAATGTTTACAGTTTGGGGGATCCCAGGGACAGTCCTACTAGACTGCCACCTGAAAGCTTGGAAGTTCAAGTACATCCGGAAGTGCCTCTGAAAAAAAAAGCTAGGCAATCTACTCCCCCAAAGTCATCCATTGCAAATCCTATGGGGCACAGTTCTACTGTGGCACACATGGGATTGCCATGAGTTCACTGATCGCTGTTTCAAAGTGGTGCTATTTTAAAGTATGCTTATATGCTGCTAGCGGGGACAGCCCAGAGGAGAGGGGAAATGATAATGAGAGAGTCCCTGAGTGACACAAACATTAAGCACCCAGCTTCCTAAAGTTAAGATTGGCTATTCAAACCCACCCAGAACAGGCTTGGAAAATTCTTGATGTTCTCTTTCCAAAGGCAGGGGAATAATCAAGCCTACTAATACCAAGTTGATTCCTACTCGAAGTGACGCTGTAGGACAGAGTAGAGCTGTGTCCCGTAGGGTTTTCAGTTTTAACATGGCAGCGGCTGGGTCCGGACAGCTGTCTTTTGGTTAGCAGACAAGCACGTCACCACTGCAACACGAGGACATCTTACAGAAGATTACAGCCCCTCCAGCCTTGCGCGCGGCGTGTGATTCTATTCTGAGACACACGGGCTGCCGCAAGGGAGAGCTGCAGGAGTGCCGCTCCTCAGAAAGTGAGAGCAAAGGGATTGACTGTAAGAGGAATAAAGCACAGTGAACGGAACCCGAGGGCACAGGAGTGAGGAGGTACCAAGGGTGGTACCTACAGAAATAGGAATTTGAATATTGCTCTTCGCCATGGCTTCCCAGACTTACTTGGCCTATCACTGCCTTCTCAGAAAAAAGATGATCCAGCACCACCCTAGCCGTGGAAAACGTGTGTACTATACCCCACAATGCAGGATAAAGTGTAGGTATCTGCTCTTGCAGCCTCCCTTATCAGTCCAGCAGCTCCTGGCAGTGGTAGCACCCACTTTGGGAACCACTACTCTTAACCCTGTGATGGGCTCATGATCAAGTCCCTCCTCTCTGCAGCAAGCAGCATGATCACAGGAAATGCATTTGGAGGAGAAATAGGGAGACTTCAGAGTGGTCACCCACTAGCCTACAGGATGGAGAAGAGCTGCCCCATAGGGTTTTATAGCAGCAAACATCCTCTTCTTTCTCCTGGCGCTTTCTCATTTGCCCCTGACTTGACAGTGAGCTTGTTTTGTTTTTTTGGCTAACAGCCCACCATTCTACCCCTACTACACCACCAGGGCTCCTTTGAGGATAGCACAGACACTTAGAAAAAGATGTCTAGAGAAGTAAGTTGAAGAAAGCTTACCTAATTGTGGTGGTGTTAGAAATACCACCCCGGAGGGCCCACCGGAAATCAATGGGCAAGAAAATAAAAGTGAGATGAAATAGCGCTGTTGAGTGTTCTCCTCCATGCAGTCGCTGGGCTGAAGTCAAGATGTCAGCAAGGCTGCTCTTCCTGGAAGCTCGAGGGGGAGAATTGGTTTCCTTGCCTTTGCCAGCATCTAAAGCGGTACCTCTTGGCTCCTGGCCACTTCCTCCACCTTCCAGGCAGCAGTGCGGTGTCATTACAGCTCCTGCTGACTCTCCTGCTTGTGGCGCATGGCCTTCTTTCCATATACCCTCGTGTAAAGAGCCTCGAGATTACATTGGGCCCACTCATTAATCCAAGATAATCCAAGATAAATAAAAAAATATTTTATTTAATTACCTCTGCAGAGTCCCCTTTTGTTATGGAAAGGTTCACAGGTCTGGGGATTAGGAAGGACATGTTGGGGGAGTCATTATTCTGTCTTCCAAGGTTGGGGAAGTCATTTTTTTTTTTCCATGATTTACATTTTCTATTTCTTTTGTGAATTACTCAGTCGTGACATATTTTTTATTACCTGTTAGTCGTTCTATTTCTGATTTGTAAGGATCTCAAGTATATAAACCCTAGCAGTCCCCCTCCCTCTACTGCTTGCCCTTTAAATTTTGTTTTTGAGATGTTCTCGAACTTACATAAACACATTAATTTTAAAGGCTTTTTATTATGGAAGCTGTTGAGCAAACTCTAGTAGAAAAGCTCATCAATTAAATCTGCACGTGTTCTTCACCACATTGAAGTAACTATTGACTCAAAGCTAATCCTATTTTATCCAGACCCTTAGCTGCTTCTTCATATCATTGATGATTCTGAAGCAAATCCCAGACAGAGTATCACTTCATCCATAAATATTTCAGCAAAATACGTTAATGTGATGACTGAAGTCTCATTACTTGCTCTGAGGTGCTTGGTGCCGTGAGTAGGGAAACCCGCTGCACTGATCTCTTTACAGGCGATGAAAATAAAGTCTGACGGTGGTGGCTTCCTCCTGCTTCAAGTCTGCTTTATTAGGCGGTACCATTTTATGATTACTTAAGCAAATCTATTTGAGCGCCGCACTTGTGGGAAATGCTGTGAGTTTACCTTCAGTTTACCCTTCTTTGTTTGTGACCAAGAGCTGTAGTAAAGGGATTGCGATGACAAAATTAACAGGTTGCGCATGGTGCCCACATTCCTGGTTTAGTCCTCTTTCCATGACGGCGGTGATGACTGGCAGTGCTTCTAGAAGGCTGGCAATTGTGTGCCCAGCCTGCATCATTTACACATGTCAGTGCCCGGTGCCAAGGCCACTGGACACTGATGTGGAAAACAGATATAGAGCAGGAAGGGAAGAACATAATACCCTTCCCTGCGGTCGGTCTCCTGCTTGGTGAACCTTCCACAATCCCAAAAGGAGTATCTTGGCTAGCACAGCTCGTCCTGCAGTTGACTGTGGGCAGCCCTGGGTGGAGTTACAGAGGCATTGGCTTCTCCTTTGAAAAGCAGAAATATATTTAAAGATGTAGTTATTACTGAGGACGAGGTAAGAATAGATGATCCAGGTGATTTCTTAGAGTTCAGGACGCAAAAGGCAGTGGCAAGTCAGTTCAGTGCGTGCTTGTGATAGCCTAGCAACACCTTACCAAAATAAATAACTCCAACCTTACAACCATAAATACCAACGCATTTGCTTGGCACCGCTCTCACTTCCTCACTACCCAGGCTCTTAACCTGTTGCAATCTGGTTTCCATTCCCTTCCTTGAAAACTCTTCGCGTTGAAGGTTACCAACCAAATCCCAGGGCATGAATTCAGTGTTTGTCCTCTGTATCCTATCTTCTGTCAATGGCTACTGACAGCTTTGCTCCCTTGTTTACGTTCTTCGTCTCTTAGCCTCTGCAGTGCTAAATGACTCTGCTCTACTCTCATTTTCCTGTGTGTATCTTTGAATACTAAGGTAGATGCTCCTACCCCATCATCTTTTAGATGCAAGTCCTTCTTAAGCTTGGACAGTTACCATGCTTCTTCCTTAGGACCCTCTTCTCAGCTTCAACACCCATGCTCCCATGGGTCTATTCCAAACACAACCTCTCTTTGGAGCTCCAGACACAGGTTTCTGTGTAATATCGAGGTTGTTCAGGTTCGCTTTTCTCACCTCAGACTTAACCCAAAGTCTGCCTTGGCCCGTCAGCCCTGGGCACCTGTACCTGTCACCTGCAGCATAATACCTTCCCAGCTCAGAAAACAATCAGGGCAAGAACTGAGATGGATCACAGCTTAGTGGGGGTTAGAAGAAAAATTTGATGGCTATAAATCAAGCAGGTCTGCACTGAGCCCTTGGCACCTTACTGGGTACAGAGCCAAAAACCTACCCTGCTGGAGACCTGGGGCCTGTTGTTTTTCTCTTCCCACGCCCCCTCATGCTCATGCCCTTTATTCATTCCCCTTTTTAACATAATTTTTTATTATGAATTAGGTAGTGGTTTACATATCAGATCATCGCTTTACATATCAGGTCATCATTCTTATATTCATGCTTTTAAAAATCTCATTTTCTTTGAAGCAATTTCACTCTTCCTCTTTCTAGATCTGAAGACCCCACACACCCACACACACACCACCACCACCCAGGCCCTGAAATCTTGATTAGTTTTACCATGTCTCGTCTCAGAAGATCAGATCCTGCTTTGTCCACTCCCCCCATGCCCCAACCCCACCACATACACACAACGACTCCACTACCTCTGGGTCCCAGTCTACACTTTCCCAGTCTCCTGGTACTGGGCCCTGAGCCATAGAACCATCATCCTGGGTCTTCACTAGGTCTTGTCCATCTCTCTTTCTCACCGCGGTTTCTTCCTCGGTGTCCTGCTGTTGTTAACTTTATTCATGCCCTTATCCTTTCAAGGTCAAACTATATCTAAAACCCTCCACCGCTGTTTCCGAATGTGGTGGAGTCTGAGCTCCACCTGAGCTCATCCTACCTTCTAGTGCCATTTTAAGTACATTTTTAAAACTTGGTGATATGTAAAAGACATCACACTCACACCGGGATCTGGGCATGAAGAGGATCGATGATTAGTTCTTCCAATCTCACTTGTTAACTTGTTTCATTAATGGGGATCTCTTGATGATCTTTGTTATTTTTATCTATTCATTGCTTTTTGTATTGAAATGTGTTGCATGTGCAGAAAAAAAGGCATTGTGAACCATCAGTGTAGCTCGATGAAATCCCGCAAACTGAACTCACCCTTGTAGCCAACACCTGGATCAACACCAAACCAACCCTTATCAGCACTCCAGAAGTTTCCTCATGCCCCACTCCATCAAAGATGACCACTCTTCTGGCTTCTAAAAGCATAGATTTGCTTTGCCTCCCTTTGAGCTTTGTACCCTTGGAGCCAAGCAGTATGCATTCTTGTGTGTCTGGCTTGTCTTCCTCAGCATCAAGTTGATGAAGGTCACCCATGCTTTTGCCTTTAGCCCTGATGGGCTTTTGATGCTAGGGTCACCCAATCTCTGTCAGAAAGAAGGGGTCATTGAGACTCAAAAACTCTTCGGAGATTTATTCATAAGCTCCTCTTGTTCATTATGAAAATAACCCATGGCTGAAAGGGTTATTTTGGAAATTAATTCGTAAGACTAGCATTTTTTAATGCCTTGGTTTTGCAAAGCTAGCTGGACAAGTTATTAAGCTTGAACTTTTCAATACAGATTTACAGTACTAAATGCATGTGGATTTATGAAGAATCACAACTAGGTTCTGAAAATTCCACAAATGTAAGGGATTAGATTTCTTATCTGGGTCTTCCTTCCTCAGGTCTTTGTTTTGTTGTGTCTTTAAATTGCTTATGGTTTTTTCTCTTGATTTTTTTTCTCTTTCACATCTAATTATCAATACTGTCAATCAACTTTTTCTTAGCCTAGGCATGTTTAGATCTAGTTCCTCTGGGTGGCCTGCTAATAAATTTTCCCTCTTTCAAGTTAAAACAGCAACAAAAAAATATAAGCCTAAACTTATGACTAAAGATGAAGTATTTTAATGCCTATAAAAATGTAACAATGGGGAACTGATCATAGGATCTACATATAACTTCCTCCCTGGGGGATGGACAACAGAAAAGTGGGTGAAGGGAGACATCGTACAGTGTAAGGTAGGACAAAATAGTAATAATTTATAGATTATTGAGGGTTCGTGAGGGAGGGGGAAAAATGAGGAGCTGCTACCAAGGGCTCAAGAAGAAAGCAAATGTTTTGAGAATGATGATGGCAACAAATGTACAAATGTGCTTGGCACAATGGATGTATGTATGGATTGTGATAAGAATTGTACGAGCCCCCAATAAAATGATTTAAAAGAAAATAAAAAAATGTAACAATGATTCTTCTGAATTATTTATATCAACAGTCATGGATTGATTTTCAAGATTTTTAAACACACCATCAAGTGTTAGAATGTGTTTTATAATTTACTTCTAGTTTCCTTAGCAACTTTTTCTCCCCCTGAACCCTCATGATTCTTTTTTTTCTAGTAAATAATCCTTTATTCCATGCAGCCACATTTCAAGACATGACAGTGTATAACAGTTTAAGGAAGGTGGAACTCTCTAACTTTAATTCACAGCAGTTGAAAATACAACTCCAATTTGTTTGGTTTTTGGTTCTGCCTTATCTTCCCTCACGTGAAGTGTGGTAATGAATAAAATTAAATCAGAGCAGAGGGGGTTAATGTTCTTAAGCTTACCAAGGATTGTTTTAGTACGGTGAGGCAAATGAAGCACTTAGTACAGGCATGAAATTTAAGGGGACATGAAAAAAAATCAGTAATCAAGATAAATAATATTTCAATGTAATAGTTTTAGAACTCGAATAAGTGCCAAAAGTCAATTAGATAAGTTATATTGTACCTACTTAAAAAAAAGGGTATACACCACCTCTGAACTGTATTTTCAAACTTGATTGTGTAAGAAAAAAATCTCACTTCTTTCATGATTCTTAAACAAGCGAGTGGAATGCTTGCTTCATATGGAAAAATACTTGCCACCTATGGAATTCCTTCTTACGGAACAATACGTTTGCGCTTCAGACTAATGCTCAAGGAAGGCACACCACGGTTGAATTACTTGAGATGGTTTATGTATGCACAATCCTTGTAACTCACATGGGAACATAGTGAATGAGACTCTCATGAGGGGATTTGTCAGTGTAGCCAGCCCATGGGGTATAGAATGAGCCATTTCAGAAGCAGGAATGGAGAATCTCCTGACCACTACTGAAGCAGAATGTGTATGAGTTGTTGAATGTAAAATTGTGATCTGCCTCTTAAACTGTCACCTAATTCCCCCCCCCAAAAAAAACTTCTAAAAATAAAGAGGAGACATAGTGGAGCATGTCCAAGGTCCCTGCATGCAGAAGCAGTGGAGGGAGGCAGCCGAAACAACAGTACAGAGACCATGAGACAAAGCGATGAGCTTCCCAGCCCATGCGACTAATGAAACTCCAGCCAGAGTGCCTTCTGACAGACTAGGATTGCAGAGTGAAGTGCCCTTTGGTCATTATTGTAATCCTTGCCTAAGCAGAGTACAGGCCAAGGGACCTTGTGGCTGAGAAGCTGAGGCCCAGAGAAAGACATTCCTGCTGGCCTAGCTGTAAGGACACACTACTGAGAAAATAACTGTATCCTTAATGTTTCTGATCCTGAAATGTATGTAGCCTGTTAACTTCCCTCATCAACTGCCATACTCATAAGTATGGCCTGTGGTTTTTATGTGGCCATTGCGACATCAGCCTCAGCAGAGAAGTGGAGTGCTGTGAGAGGGGCAGAGGTGGGAGGGTGGAGCCTTGTCTGCCCTCTGCATCATAGGAATCCTCCTTGGGCTGATATGGAGTTGAATTCTCCTTCCCCTTCCCCGACCCAGCTCACCTACCTTTCCTCAGATGGTCTTTATGCATCAGGCTTTTGCCAATGCCGTTTGACCATAACGCAAATGTTAGTTTGTTGTATCATAGTGAGTAGCTTCTGTGTTGCTAGGAGGCTGGGAGCGATGCTACCAATATTTCGAATACAAGCAGGGACACGCATAGGGCACAGGTTTCGGTGCAACTTCCAGACGAAGACACACTACTCAGAAGGAACACCGGGTTCTCGCGGGAATCACATGTCTTCCGAAAACTAGGCATTAAAAAACCTTTCTGGATGACAACAAAACATTAACTGATTTGCCCCGAGAAGGAGCAGTAACTAGAGAAGGACAACATGATTGATGCAGCCGAGAGCCAGGGGGTAGGAGCGCCTTCCTGAGATGGGCTGGCACAGTGGCCACCACAGTGGACTCCGTCTTGCTGGTGACGGTGAGAATGACGAGGGCTGAGCAATGCTGCGTCCTGTTGTGCATAAGGCCATCATGAGTCAGAGTAAACTCAAGGGCCTCTAACAACAAAAACATATATGACTGTTTAGCTGCTTTGAGGGAGGAGGGCATGGGTTAAAAAAACAGCAAAACAACAAAAAACCTCAGTTGCACACTGTGTTAGACTGGGTTGACTAGAGAAACAAATTCATAGACAGTCATCTGTGTATAAGAAATAGTTTTATATACAAGAGTAATTATATATTAAGAAGCAACCCAGCCCAGGCCAGATCAAGTCCATAAGTCCAATATTAGCCCATATGCCTGATAATAGCCCATACATTCCTCTTTAGACTCACGCAGCCATAAAATGACACTGAATGCAGTAAGATCACAGGCCAGTGGGTGGAAAGTCTTGTAGAGCCAGTGGCGGTGGAAGCATTGCAGCACTGGTGTGGGTCTCCATGTGGCTTCTCCAGCTCCAGGGCTCTGGCTCCATCAGTGTGCCTCCATGTGGCTTGTCAACCAGAAGGTCAAGCAGAGAGTGCGTGTGTCCCACCTCCAGTGAGGAAGACAAGAGGTTCCAGAATCCTCCGGAGAAGGCCATGCCCACACAGAGGCATTATTGACTATGACCTGATTGACAGGCTAGACTCCACCCCTTCACAAGTTGGCAGGAGAATATGTAACTGCCACACAGAGAGTAATAATGAGGTATGAGCTGTGAAGCCAGATGTTGGTTTGAGACCCACCAAAACAGCAACTTTGAATGGAGGCACTATGATGATTAAAAGACACACAAGGAACATAAAAACCAATAAACGTATTCCTTCTATTAGATATTATGAGCAGTAATATTTAGTCCTCAAACCAGAATTCTACAGAAAATGATCTAAACTATATATATAAACAAACCATCGGGCAAAACCAAGTAATCAATTGTGTTTCTATGAGTATGTGTTTCTCTAGCTTCATGTGTGATTCCTGTGAGACCCCACATTTGATAAGAAAGATTACCTTGCTCCTAGATTTTGGTTGTGTAAACCTTCTCCTTTTTAGCAGGCACTTTCAGGGAAAGAGATACACAATTTTTTGAGTAGAGGGCACCCTAAAAAAAAGAAAGAAAGAAAGAAAGAAAGATTACCAGACCCATCCAGTTCCACGAAAAAAAAATAAAAAATTGCTTTTACAAATGTTTATTTTCACAGTGTGCAGACGAGAGTGTGGAGGGCATGCCAAGTTTACTAATGGAAATTAAACTTTCAAAGACTTTATGTCTTTGTCATCATTGCTCATCACAGAAATAGGTGTTCTATGATGAAAGCACTTATTTGCACAAATATTTCCTCTAGGATTTATACCATTGGGGAACTTTTTTTAAAAAGTGGGGGTTTTGTTTATTTTTAAATTTTAGATGTCATGTTTCAACTTTCTGAGATATCAGACTCTTGAAGGTCATGGCCTGCTTGGGGCGTTTTGTTGTTGTTGTTAGGTGCCGAGACAGTTCCGACCCATAGTGACCATATGCACAACAGATGGACACATTGCTCAGTCCTGCACCTTCCTCACATTTGTTCCTATGCCTGAGCCCATTGTTACAGCCACTGCGTCAGTCCATCTCCTTAAAGACCGTCCTCTTTTTCTCTGCTCCTCTGCTTTACGAAGCACGATGCCCCCAGGGACTGTTTCTCCTGAAAACATATCCAAAATAGGTAAGACCAAGTCTCGCCATCCTTGCCTCTAGGAGCACTCTGGCCACATTTCTTGTGGTAATATCACATTGCTTGTGAGACATCCACTGCAGTCCTTGCGCTTGCTAAGCCTACTCTTTCTCACGCTGTCTTCAAAACTCAACCCAGGCATTATCCCTTCCAGGAAATCTGAGCCACCAGTTAGATACAATTGCCCCTTCTCCATGGTTTTCACATGCTGTAAATGTCTTAAACCGTCTTCTGTTACGTTGCACTTATCTCTTCCATTAATGTGTGAAGGGGCTTCTAAAAGTTTGTTTGAAAGTAGAACGATGGGAGGGAGGCTTCAAGAGGGCACCAAGAATTGGGAGTGGGCGTGCAGACCCCACCACGGTACACCAAACCATGAGGACAGTGTGGCCACGTGG